GAAACGATTTAATAGCAAAACTTACCAGGCTTCTGGTGGTTGTTGCTTAGCACCGTCAGCAAAGATTATCTTTCAAAGTAGCCTGCAACAATTCAAGTCCACCCAAAGAACCTGTAACAATTCAAGTCCACCCAAAGGGAATGTATTGAAATAGAAAAATCCAGTGCATTTGAACTTGATTCAATTCCTGCCTCCTTCTGATGCAATGATTGGAAATGGGATGAAGTTTGGTTTGTTTGCTAGTTTTACAGACTACCTTCTTTAAGATGGAACAATTTGTACCTAATTGTGCAGCTTCTAATGAAATCGGTGCAAATAAGCACCCAGAAACCATGTGGATTTTGCACCATTTGTGCAAAATTGGCTGTTTTGGACAAATATCTGACTATTCACAAATTATGCAACAGCAACATGATTTTTGGCCGCTTGTTTGCAGAAAATGCATTAGCAGTTAACAGTGTACAAATCACAGTGTTCCTTAGAGACTGAAGTCCCTGGGCTGCTTCAACATACACCACAACAAGTCAGTACCAGCAAACTAGAATCCAGAGGGCTGAATCTTTAAAAACTGTTAGATTTCCCCTTCCCATTAGAGACTTCATAGTAAAGTGAAGGATATAAGTATACACTAAGTATAGTGTATGCACAACATTAGAGATCCGTTCATGAGTGTGATGCCATCTCTTCTGGTTGGTGTTTCAATCCACAGGGAAGCGGCAGAATGGGTTCAGGAGCCACAGTTGAAATTCTGCCATTAATTGTGTATGGTAATGCATTTCATTGTGAAGTCATATTTCTTCTTTCCTCTGCTCTTTGCAAGTATCCAACTGTGCTCACGTATTATTTATTTATACTTGGTGCACCTGTAGAGACAGTCTTGCTAAAGTATGCCTTTTCCCCTAATTCACTGTATAATGCTTGAAATATGCTAATATGTTAAAGTGTAAACTCAATAATACCAACAGTATAAAAAAGCCATAATGTAATGAAACTGTAGCTGTACCTGCTGGATAGTTTGGAGCCACCCAATGGCAGTGCTAACTCTACCATTAAAAGGCAGTCAAACCAAGGAATGCTTGCAGAGTTCCAGAATAGATTCAGAGCTAAGCAAGACAGAGATAAGCACAGAATGAATTAACAACAGGCAACGTTGGTCAAATAGACCTGTTCAGGATCATAAACTGGGTTTGCTCAAGCAAGATATTTTGCAGAGAGATTTAAAGGAGTGTTTGAGGCAAGGCCTGGCTTCCATTTACTAGGAAATTCTCCGTATCCAATTATTAATCTTTGCCCAGCTTGTCATCCATGCATTTGCCCTGCTTGTATTAAAATTGCCCCTTATCAACAAGACAAAGTAGGTGGCTCTGCATGCAGTAATGATTCATTGCTTAATGAATCCCCATCAATCATGCAGGCCTTCAATGTAATACTTCAGCTGTGATGTGACAGAAGGGAGAAGAACAGCTGTTGATCACAGGGATGCCATCTTTTGAACCAGGAGCATGTGGGTGTTGGGGGAGGGGGTTCTTTTCTATTCAGGTCGTTCCAGTGGTCTTCAACTGTCTCCACCATGCTATGTCAGAAAGCACTTGGATAAATTTGAATGTTGTGTGAAAATGGTAGAAAATAACCTATGGGAAGGTTTAATAAGCACAGAAGAGAAACGGTACCATCCTTACAGAAAACAGGATGTGTTTTGCAAGCAGAAAGATAACAAAACATTCCTTTGTGAAGGTATAGAAGCAATGAACTAGGAAAATGGTACATAAACATTCTAGAATCCATTCTAGAACCAGCAACATGTAGTCTCTGAAAGTTAAGAAGTCTCTAGCAAGTAAGGAATGGTTTTATCATGGTATGGACATTAACCATTCCAAAACTCAGGACTTCAGTAAATATGAATATAAGGAATTTTATATCAGACTGTTGATGTTTGAATATCAACAGATGTCAGGCCTGGAGAAACCTTGGAAATGTCTTTCGCATTCACATATATGTATTGCCTATGGCAAAATAGTGTCACTATATCAGAATTTCTTTAAGAATGCAGACATCCCATTTATGTACTGACTACTATCTAAAAGCTAAATATTTCAGGAAATAGCAACAATAATGACAACAAAAGCAATCATTTGCATTGTATGTGGGCACCTAGAGATCCCTGGAGGGTCAGATAGGAGGGCTGCATTGACCCTTAAGCCTGAGATTCTGCACTGCTGGTCTATTCTGATAGACAACCTGAGGTTTATACCATGGAAGACGCTTCACCTAAGTATCTAGTCCAATTCACTCCAACTAGATGTGTTTTATACCTGCATTTCTTTGAGATCGTGTGATAAGAGAAAGCAAGAAACCTGAATTGAAGACCTGACCAGAGGCTACCACGCCTGTCCTAGGATTAGGGCACCATCTCTTCTGAAGCTGTATTGTAGAAGAATAATGCAGAATTGCATTCTGGTTATGGAAGCAGTGAGGACAACTATAGCTTCTTTCTTGTTGCCTGTATATTGCTAGTGCAGCCCTTCCTTTTGCCCAACTTCTGCTATCCTGAGCTAATTTCTGCTTCACGGCTGGAAAGCTCCCTTGCTTCTTCAGAAATGTTGCCAGGCAACCTCCTGGCCAGCTCCACAGCTGCACTGTTGATACAGATAATCTGAGCCAGGCATCCAGCTTGACATGTATATTAATAACACATGTTGATATTGTTGTATAAGAATTTGGCCTGGGGTAAGAAATGGAGCAGGAGAAGGGCTCATAGAATCCTGTGTAGCCAACGCTCTGTCCATCGCAAACACATACTTTAAGCAATCACTCAGACAACTCTGCACACAGAATTCAGCAGATGGCCAATGCTGTTGTTGTTACATGCCATCAAGTCACCTCCAACTTATGGCAACCCTCTGAATAAAAGCCCTCTGAATAAAAGCCCTTATTGAATATCCTGGACCTGCAGAAATACAAACAAGTGGCTCCTAGATGAGATCAAGCCAGAGCCAGAGCATTCCCTGCAAGAAAAATCACAAAAATGTGGCTGTCTGCTTTGGACAGATCATGATAAGGCAAGATTCCCTGGAGAAGTTAATCCTGCTAGGGAAAGTTGAAGGCAGAAGAAGAAAAAGGAAGACTAAATAAGAGATGAATTGACTTCACAAAAGAAGCCACAGACTTGAATTTAGAACAGTGAAGCAGAGACAGCATGGATGAGACCTTTTGGAGGGCTTTCATTCAGGGCTGCCAAAAGTTGGAGATGACTTGATGGCACATAACAACAACAACAACATTATGAGCAGGGAGTTTGGCAAATCTCTTTTTCATGGCAAGTGTACTGAATAGGACCCATGTTTGTTGCAATCACATCTGATTTTTATACGTATAAATTTAAAACATATAAGAAGATGGATGCAGTCCCTTCTCCTTAGAAGAATTATAGCTTTGGAAGTTTCACTACAGAAATGACTGTTCTTACTTCCTTGAATACTTTCTCCACTGTGGAGCAGATACTGATTCACTGTGCTGTATTATATCCACTAAGTCTCTTTGCTGACGATGTAATAGCAGCTTTATTACCTACAATATAATCCTTTGTTTCTTTTCCTTTCTTCCACTTCTAGTATTGCACTTTTATGTGAGCATGGTTGACAATCACTTCTCTCTTGTGCTTTATAATTGTTCCTGTACCATCATTTGACCTGGCACTTTGAAGAGCCTCATCAGGTGCTTGTTTGTTTTTGTTCTCACACTCCTCTTCACAAGTTTACAATCAAAACGCATGGCAACAAAAGCAGGAAGATGAGAGTTCAGCCAGATGGATTTCAACACTACTAGCTTAGTCTGGCTACAACCCATCGGTAGCAAGGGATGAATGTGGACAAGATAGGATTGTAAGCATCTTGCAGGTTGTCTTATGTCCCCTGCAGTTGCCCCTGCTGGTGCCAACTGCATTCATGATTTCCTGCTTTGGAAATCGGCTGTGTTCTTGTGGCTGCGCACTGACTTCCTGGCATGCATAGGCACAATATTGTGCGAATCAGTTCTTGGTTATATCTAAGAATTATATCTAAGAATCTATGAGAATTTATTTGCATTTACAAAACATTCAATATGCCCTATTTGCATTCTTGAATGTGAATGCAAACAGGAAAAGATGGACTCTGACTTTGCTTTTTATTGTGGGAGAAGAATTCTCAAACATATGCTTGCATTTCAAAATCATGTAAATTTCAGAGAAAAGGCATTTGAAATTGTGCCTTTAAAATGTGCAATTTCATGCTTTATTCTGTAAGGCAAAGTTGTGCAATTTGTGTGCAATTTTCCCATTCAGACAAAGTGAAAAGTGATTGCAACCATTCCCAGAACTCAGATGTAAAACAAGAATTACACTGATGCTCATAGAATCTTATGATAAATCATTTGTTTACCCACCCCTACATTATGGAATATGGTCACTGAAGATCTTCCAGACTGAACAACAGATAGTCAATAATCTCAGTTTATTAGCACTAATCTTGGAGCTAAGCATCGATACACTTCTAAAAAACAAAAACAAAACAACCATCTACTTTAAAGGGTATAAGTAAATCTTCTTGTGTCCCGATGAATACCATTGTGTATTTTGTAGCTCTGACTGTCATACCTCTATAATTTCTGGCAAGTGAATGAGTCATTTCAAGTCTTGAAGTTGTTAGCTAAATTAAAATGAAATCAATATGGATTTTTCTCCCCACCCCCAGGCAATGTAATATACTCAATGAAGAAGTATATTTACTAAGACAGCCGTCATTACTGAAAAAGAGTTTTAAGAAATAAATAGAACTGTAGCTCTTTGTTTCTGTTCCCAAGTGTCAGAATGAGTAAATTAGATCACTAAAATAAAGTCTAATCATCAGCACAAACTTTAAAACAATTTGAGATCCTTTGAACCTTTAGACAAAATCCAATAAAGCATTTGAAGAGGGAAATCAATGAGAAGTCTTAAAGGGCTCTCTTTTTTTGTCACGCAGACTACAAGCTTTCTCTCTGAAGCCCTTTTTCCTGCGCATTCTACCATATCTGAGGAGCTGGATTCTTCCTTTAGCCTGCATGAATCCATTGCAAAGGTAAAGCAAATTAAGATGTCTCACTCAGCAACACAGGTACTTTTTCATGTTAACTAATTATGAATGAATCCGTTGTTGCTTCAAAGGTATTTAAAATATTTGTATATGCCAGCCCAAACAGCTATTTAATTACAATGACAACATAATGTAATACATGTCTACTCAGATTGCAGTTCCATTGAAGCCAAAGTCAGTTGTGGCTTACTCTTGGGAGAACAGGAATAGTATTGTCTAAAGGCTGCATTTCCAGGAGCCAAGCTACACATTACATCAATCACATGGTGTGAAACCAAAATTCAGATCTTTCTTCCTGCATGGTTCCAGGTATTATACACTATGAACATATAATGTGGTTCATTTTTAAGCCATGACAACAATCTACACTGTACCACCATTTCCATAGGACCATTTTACCCCTGGAAAATCACCATTTTTGGTGGTTTGTGTTGCAAGAAGTAATGTTGGAAAAATTGTCATGTGGGTTGACTAGGCTTATCTTGCCCAAGGAGTTTGTTGTTCTTGTAGTTGTTGCTGCTACTGCTTTTTTAAGCCTTATGGTTCTTCCAAGAAGCTAGTTTCTCATCAGTGTCCCAGCTATATTTCTGTATACATGGCTCATGGCTTTTTCATGCAATGTAGAATCATATGATGAATATTCTGGACCTGAAAACACAACTAGGAAGTTTCCAGCTATGCTTTGAGATGGATGAGGTGGCCACAAGACTTTTTAAAAATTATTTAAACTTTACATGTGTACGATGGCCAGGGGAGAAAGAGAAGGAGAAAGAAATAGAGATAACCTACTCCTCAGTGCATTTGGAGGTGCATTTGTTCTCTTTTTACCATTGACTATCAACACATTGCTGACAAGGGGCATTATTTAGCTGGGATCTTGTTGTGTTCTTTTGGTGACAGTTTAAGCTACACACACAGGACAGATGAATCTTCACCTACGTGTGCTGTGAAAAACCATGGGTGGAAGTGAATGTGACCTTATTTATGCAAATTATCCTACCAACAAAAATCCAGTTCGCACCAATTGCCACCATTTAAAACGGTATCACTATATTGGATCAATACCACTGCAAGGAAATGGAGTAAAGTTTATGGATTGAGTTTGACTCCTCCAGACAGATTTGATAGATGCCTGAATCAAAGTGGGCATTCATTGCAGAAGAATGAGACAAAATTGGCCCACTTTTGAAGATTTGTGATCCAGAGTGCATCTCCAAAAACAGATACTGTATACCGAGTTTCTTTCTATATTATAGAAGAATCAATGCAGGCAGAAATCCCACTTCCTTCACATAATGGATAATAACTCTAACACCATTCATTCTATGAGTTTATATAATGGATGTGTTAATATTCATACTTAATCATGGAACCCATCAGTTAAATTATAAACTATTTTGTGTAGCTGCAATTCCCTTTCATGACCATCTCAGACATTTCCATTACAGGTGAAATTGAATTACCTTGTTTTCCCCCACACTTCATTTAAAGTAAATAAAAGTTTATTGAGTTCTCTCTTCCTCAAGGGGACCATACTGAAGATCAATGTCTATATGGTATACAAACAATATTTTTAGAATCTGGATCATACAGATGAAGTTCTATAGAAATATTTTGTTCTTCTGTTCCCTAATAGATAACTGGAAATATATTAAAACCATTAACTGTGCAAATTAAAAACATTATATTACATCAATATTTTTTTTTCTTTGATCAATTCCCACTCCTTAACTACCTTGGTAATTTAAGAAATTGAAGAAAGATAAAATAAGCAAAATTGGCTAGAGATATTGTATCATTCTCAGGATTTCTTTAATATACCCTGTGAGATGCAAAGATGCATCTAGTCAAGCCTTCCCACTGATGGAATTGTTTGTGTCAGTGGCTTCTCCCACAGCTAGAACCATCTGGAACTTAGTCCAAACCTTCCTGCATAGTCCCTACTTCTGTTGAAGTGATTGTCACCATTGCAAAGGTATATTCTAGGTTTACCCACTCATAGAAACTGTCTAATTCTTAGAAGGACTGGCTTGGCAGGGAGTTGTGAGATAACGGCCCAGAATATAAACCCTGGCAACTTTTATGATTTGATCTAGTGTCCATAGTAGTCAGTTATCTCCATTACAGTAATGTCAGGCAGTATATCATGCCTTGCACTGAGGCTACAATCCACATAAGTACCGGATGGGAAATAGGCTGTTCAGCTGTACAGATTGGAACCTATCGGTGGAACACCCAGTGCACAAACAGCAGGCTTTTCCCAGGTGAAGGACTAAAAGTACAAGTTACCCAAACTGATCTATTTCTCATTCTTGCTTGTAATGATATCCATCTGCTTTCCACTATTCCCTTGCTCTGTTTCATCCATAAGGGTTTTCGAAGCAGGCTGCAATAATAATCAAGTCCATAGATCAGTGGATTTGTGCTTCCCATGACAGATCCAGAATGCCTAGCAAGGCCAATGGTATCACAGAAGAATGCTTTGGGCCTTCTGTTTCTGCTCCAGTGAAAGTGTGTGGGGAGCAAGTGTTTCTAGCCCCCCACCCATTCTTTGCACTGAGCAGATACCTTCTGATTTACACCCTTTGAACTGTGTTGGCAAGGTTGGCATCAGACATCAGAAAGCAGAGGGACCTTCTGGCCTGGGGCTCAGAAAACCAACCACAACATATGCTCACACTGCCATCAAGGAATTTGACCAGCAGTTCCAGTTCTGTTGGGGTCCTGTGTCTGCTACTGCTGCCGCCAAACACCCCCTGTAACAAATACTATGTTTCTTCCCCCATCCCTGTGAAATTGCACAGTCTTCAAAACTTCCCTTTGCCCATATTCCCAGAGATTGAATTTAGGCATATGCTGAGACTTTCTAGAACCCAGTTCCCACCTACTTGCGAGACTTTCTCTGGTGCTGATCCCTCTCTAAGAAAGAGAGCCAAGTCCATAAGAAGTCCTCAAGAGTTCACAGACCACCAGCTGCACAACTAAGAACTTTCTCAGTCACCATTCCCAGCAGCCAACCTCCCTCTTCACTCGCTGCACCAGTGGTGGAAATGCTGTGCAGGGAACAGGTGTGCAGCAGAGGGGTGTGCTAGCTGCTTGCACAGTGCATGGCCCTTGATTTATGGTGAGTGCCCCACAAGCCCTGTGCACGCTCACCAAGAACTCAGAAGTTGACCCTGCAAAGCAGACTGGAGTCTGGAATGCCAAAACAAGGGACTCTTCCCAAAGCACATCCCTGCTTGGAGCTTCCTCTGTCAGGCTTTCGGATAAGAGGACAATGAGCTGCTTCTGTGTTCCCCAGTGGTCAGCCACCGCCTTGGATTTTCTGGAACGCAACGCGTGCCATCAGCATTGCACACTGCATTTTGGGAGCATGTGGTGGTCACACGTGGATTGGAGTCCTCCCATCCAAAAGCACCGCTGTTGTCGATAGGTAAATGCAGCTGGGGAAGGAGGCAAGTGGTGGAGGCAGCAGCAATCTGCAGTGCCAAGCAAGGACCTAGAGGAACGGCCATTGCGTGCATTCAGCAAGTCTGGTGGAGATGCCATAAAAAAGAGTTCATGCGTTTTGGTTGCACTGGTGCCGTTTAGCAGGTCAGGATCCATCTGCCATCTGTGTGGTGGGGAGGGGAAATGAAATATAGCTAACATATTTCTTCTTTTCTATTGTGAGAATTGATGAATCCAAAGTAAGTGTTAGGAATAAAGCTGACTACATCTGCTCAACAATAAGTTGAAGGAGTTAAATATTTCATTCTCAGCTCGTGTCTAATTTATGGGCCAGCCAGTGTTTCATAATGCTACTTTAGCCCTCACTTTCTTTTGGTGCATATTTTTGATTGTCTGGCATCTTCACAGCTGGGCCTGAATAAATAAATCCCAATTTAGCAAAGTAAATATTGCTTTTATGATAATCAGTACCCAGCACAAATGTGCCCTTATTGCTGTAAACTCAACATTTTCTCTCCATTTTGAGATGATAAAGCTTATACTGGCTTTAAGGAATGTGTCCTATAATACCAATTACTGTTAATCTTTCGAGGGACATAAGTTTGTTCAAATTGAGCCCAAGCTGGTTGCTTGAAGAGTCATGGCTGTAATTTAAAATATATTTTCTCACACATGAGCAGTGAAAGAATCGATGCATTCAGAGCCAAGCCTTCAGGGGCCAGGGAGAGGACTCAAACTTTGAAGATTTCTAGCTGTCTTGGGCAATGCATTTCTGGCTGCTAGGAAAAGGCAGAGGTGATGCCATGATGCAAAGCAAAAATGAATAATTTGCATCATAGGCTGATGGACACCATGTATAAATGACAGGATACTGGGATTAGAAACATCACGGCTAAGTATATAATTATGGTATATTATTCCCTGGTTGTAGACTGGCGGAGGACCAGAGAAAATAGCCTGGGTTGGCCTTCAGCAATCCAAGTGCACAAATATCTCTGTTCTGGAGTCCATCTGCCGAATGCATGCAGGGAACGTTGGATGCTGTTCCAGCAAGCACAGCTTTTGGCAGAGTGGGCAAGTGGGACTCGAACCAAATATATGCCCAGTGTTTACAAACTACTATATTTTATCATGAGACCCTTGCTGTTTTGAGGCCTCCAGCTCCAGGTTTTAGCCTCTGGAATTCATTTTGTATGGGTGGAACCCGCAGCAATATGTCAGTGCAGGTTAGCTGCAGTCAGAAATGCATGTGCTCCTCCAGAATCCCCCAGCCTGGATCCCTCCCTGCAGAGCAGCCCCACAAATCAGATATCATTTGGTGCCCACTGGGCATGCTCAGTCCTCCTTAACCTGCTTGGGAATTGTCTGCGTCATTTCCCCCACTAGAGCTTTCAGTGTTTCTGTATGTTGCAAATGATTTGGTATATCATTCAAGAGGTACGCCAATGCTCGCTCAACTGTAAGTCTGTTCACTGCATGGCCCCTTAGGCCACAGAAAGGTTCCTTAGGATTAAAAATAATCCAGACTAATTACA